CCTGTGAGATTATGGAAAATAAACCACTCGGGTCCCGGATGTAGTTTTTATGAATTTTACGAGTGGTATATTTTCCAGTAAAACACTCGTGTCTATATAATAAATAATAATAATAATAATAATAATATATAATGATGGTTTATTAACAGTGTGTCCACCTAGTGGCTCTTCACCTGTTAAAAACTACAATATAAAAAATGAGAAACTATAATATACTACAAAAAAATTGAATTGAAATCTAGAATATAAAAAGCAAAAATATCGGACTATAAAAGGATATTGTATAGAAAATAAAAATGTTATAAAGATTAGTAATAGTAATACAACCCTATATGCAATTTACAAACTATTTACAAATGTCATTTAAAAGGCTGTCCGCGTAAGATCCGATAACGCAAATTGATTGCCATGATTTTTTCAGTGGACTATAACTATCCTATCCCATGAAGAAATATCACTGTTACGCCGCAAAATGTAATATTAACGCAAAATGTGGTAAGAATCGCCGCAAAATGTAATAACATTGACGCAAAATGTAACAAAAGTTTCAATGCAAAATGTAATAATCTTTCAACGCAAATTGTAATAACTTTTCTAACGCATAATGTAATAACGCAGAATGTAACAGTTTCCGAAATAACGACGTGCATGCCATTTCAAAATCGGTATTGTGGCTCAGTAATCAGTGGCTGATCCAGATCTTCATGTGAATTATTATTATTATTATTATTATCAATATTGATATTAATAATAGTAATAATATTTATTTCTTCTTCTTCTTCTTTTTATTATTATTATTATTATTATTATTAATGAAATGACAGTTGAAACGTCGTGTTACTTCCGTGCTGAGCTAGTCTCCCTCGCAGCCGTGTTTTGTCTCGTCACGCAACACTCTTCCCCAACAAAGGAGGAGGAGCGTTGCGTGACGAGACAAAAATGGCTGCAATAGCTTGCTGCACTGTACCACAACTGTAGCAACTGAGAGACTTGGTTTAATTTCAGGTGTTGAGTTTAATTCAGTCAAATAAAATAGCTGTTGTCGAAAACAAGTAGTAGAATCAAGTTTCAAAGTATAATTCAAATGCATTTATATAATTAAAATATAAGATATCTGTCACACTTTTTTTCATGAGAACCAGACAACTTTGGCTGTAGCTTACTTTTCCTAAGTTCTCACTTAATAGAGGCTGAATTGTTCTTAATGCTGTTTTTTAGGTCCAAGTTTCTTTTATGGTGAAGTTTCCAAGCTTTGCAAAGTCAAATCAGTTTGCCTTGTAAGGTAGTTGTAGTAGTTAAGGTAGTTAGAAAAGATTGCGTAAAATTTTTTTAGTTAGCCCAGTAACGCATTTTTTATAAACCATTTTTCACTTGAAATAATTCTTTTAATCTGAAAAATGAGCATAGTAACAGCATAGAGAAAAACAGGAACAAAGACATAAACATTTTTTACAGTATATTGTGTATTTTGTTAATCCAAATATGTGCATGTTAACTTTTAACGTCGTCTTGGGGTACCAGGGCCTCCTATTCCGAGACTTCTTGTGATTTTGTTTTTTAGGTTTTTTTTTTTCAATTCGACCGACCGACTCAATATCAGGAAACGCATTTGACGCTAAACGAAACCTTGAATTTGCTCTGAAACGCAATCGCCATTGGCTTAGAGTTGACGGCACTAAATCTTGAACTGGGAGATCCATAAAAAGTGCGCAATTTCGTCAGTTTTAGGGCCGACCATTTTTGACCACTTGAGGGGGGAGGGTGTATGGGTAATTTGGTTTGGGTTAAAATTTTTGGATAATTATGGGAAACTGTCTAAATACCCCTCCTCTAAGCCATCATTAACACTTATTTCTCACTTAGGGCGAAATGTTGGCTTAGGACGGGTAGGTGGGCACTGTATTGGGACCTGTATTACGTTCAAATCAGCGGAAACAAACGTCCCATTCGGTTCCCTAAAAGATGATTACATCTCCTCATTTCAACTGTTTCATTTTAATATTAGCAATAATAATAATAAAAATAATAATAATAATAAATATTAATAGTAATATTAATATCATTAATAATATTAATATTAATATTAATATCAATAATAATAGGTTATAATTTAATTGAAGACCTGAATTCGCTACTACCGATGACTGAGCAACAATACCGATTTTGAAATAGCATGAACGTCGTTATTCGGAAATTATTACATTTTGCGTTATTACATTATGCGTTAGAAAAGTTATTACAATTTGCGTTGAAAGATTATTACATTCTGCGTTGAAAATTTTATTACGTTTTGCGTCAATGTTATTACATCTTGCGTTAGTATTACATTTTGCGTTAATATTACATTTTGCGGCGATTATTGCATTTTGCGGCGTAACAATCACATTTATTTGGACCAACTCAATTTTTCTCTATATTACAGGAAGATTTTCTCCGTCACCTAAAACTGGTCCGTTTGCCGTTAGAAGTGGTGCGATTTTGCTGAAACTTTAGGGCTCTGTCAAACCTAGCTTACATAGCCGAATAAGCTGATTATTTTACACACAAAAGTGTTAACTCTGGTTAACAGTGTCAACGTTCAATGGTTGCATTCTGTAGAAAGTTGGCTGAGATATGATTTTTTTTAAAATGACCTTTAATTTGCTCAGCAAGAAAAGTAATTTGCATACTAGAGCTGAACGGTAACTTCGCAAAAGTGGCACCTGACCCAGACTAAAATCTATGATAAATCAGAAGTACTAAGACCAGTCTACTTCTTAATACAATAACATTTGTAGGCACTCTTCGCTGCGCGCTGTTAATGTTACAAAATGCGCCATTTTGACAGCAAAGCTAGAATTGTAACGGTCCGCATTTGATCGACTAATTTCCACGGTTTTAACGTTTCTAGTTATCACTAAATGTCATTAGACCCTTTAAATGTTGCACGTTTGAAAACGTGTGGAGAAAACTTAGTAATGGCTTTTCCTTGGGTCTTTTTCTTGTAGAGGATGAACGTGACTTCATTCTCCGTATGCAAATTAGCCTCAGATGCGTTGTTTCAACAAATTGACAGGAAATATAATCCTTACATTTCACATTTCTAAGGGGAAAAATAACTCTCCTTTCCACAGAAAAACACAAAGCATGACTGAGAATCTCTTTAAGGTCTTTTTTTTTTAACGAGGAAGAAGCAGCTGAATAATATGTGATAAAAGTGTTGACAAGCCTACACGACTCCTGCAGTTCGCGGATGAATAAATTCTAATAAAGCCTTCATAGCTTAGCTTTAACTAGGATGTCCTTTAGGGATTTTCCCTTACGGTATGAGATGATGGGGGGCTCCTTAAAGATTTCTCTCAGTTGCGATTGGTTTTCTATAAGGTGCCATTTCCCCATAAGTGTGTCCTTTAGGTTAGGCAAAGCCGGATGGTATTGTGTTACAAAGGGCAATATTTTCTTAGGTGCGGTTTTGTTTTTCTGCGCTAGCGACATTTCTCTATCAGAGAATTTAATCTCTGAAAGGTGTTTTTCTACAATTCTAGCTGGGTAATCTCTATTCTGCAGGAGTGTTTTGAAATTACTCATGTTTTCCTCAAAAGTAAATTGAGAGGAATTTGTTCTCAGAAGCCTTAACGCTTTTCCTTTTATAAAGCCTTTCGTGACGCCTGGTGGGTGACACGAATAGAAATTCGTGTATTGAAAGGTTTCTCTAGCTTTGAAATGCGTTCGCACGTCAACAATAGATTCCTTTTGGAATCTGTCACCTTTGTACACTTTCGTGTCTTATAATGTGGTTTCTGTTTCTGAGATTTCAGCCGTGAATTTGATCGTTGGGTGAAAACTGTTTGCCTTTACAAGGAAATCCTCTATTTTGTCTCTGCTTGTGTTCCACATAGATATGACGTCATCTATGAATCTTTTCCAAAAAATTGGTTTTGTGGTGCTTTGTCTGAGTATTTCTTTTTCTATTTTGGCCATAAATATGTTAGCAAAAGCTACGGCCATTTTCGTTCCCATGGCTGTTCTATGAGTTTGAAGGATATCTTTTCCATTGAATTGGAACGAGTTTTGTTGTAGAATTAGACTTAGCATTTCTCTTAAGTACCTGGTAGGAATGGGAGGGTTTTCCGCATAGAATTCTTCGTATGCTCCGCATACAGTGGTAAAACCCTCCTCCTGGGGTATGTTCGTGTAGAGACTGGTGACGTCCATTGAGACAAGAATTGTACTTTTAGGCAGTTTAGTCTTCTCGATGAAATTAAGAAAGTCTGTTGTATCTTTGAGATACGAGGCTTGTTTTTGTGCTATTGGCTGAATGAGGTGGTCAACAAAAGCTGAGATTCTTTCTGTAGGGCCGTCACACCCTGATATGATAGGTCTACCGACAGGTGTCGGTTTGTGAATCTTTGGGAGTGTGTAAAGTACTGGTATTCGTGGAGGATCGGGTGTAAGGGAAAGCCATTTAGCCGTCATGTCGTCTATGTGGCCTTCTTGAAGTAGTGATTGAATCAATCGGTGAACCTTTATGGCTGTGGTGCCAACCATAGGGTTGTGTAAGGGTCGGTAGTTATGTACATCATCAATTTGGACTTGACCCTCGTTAAGTTTATCTGTTCTGTTCATTATGACGGTTGTGGTTCCCTTATCGGCTTTTTTATCACAATGTTTTAGTCACGCGATAGTTCTTTTAGAGCTTTTCGCTCCCCCTGTGACAGGTTGTCTTTCGGCTTGTTCAATTTGATATTAGCAAGCTCAAATTTGACTTCTTCTAGGAAGGTCTCAAGAGCAACTGAGGGCTGGACTGGTGGGTCCCAGTCTGACTTAACGTGGAAAGGATGAGGTTCTTTATCTGTACCGTGAAATATGTATTTAAGGCGCATTCTTCTGGCAAATTGACTGAAGTCATTGAGTAGCTGGCGCCTGATAATGTTTTCTCTTGTCCCGGGAGTGGGAATGAATTTTAAACCACGGGATAGCAAGGTAATTTGCTCGTCTGTCAACTGTGAATTTGACAGGTTTTTGATATGCTGGTTGCGTGACTTAATGTTGTTTAGAAAGCGCTTTTTCTCTTTGATTTTCCTCCTCTCGGTTCTTTTGCGGCTTTTAACCGCTTTGTTGTCAGTTCTGTTTCTTTTCCCTTCTTCCCTTATTTCTAAAGGGTAAGATAAGACAACAGGATAAGATTCATTTTTTTTATTGTTTGCCTGTGCTCTCATTTGTTCCAGCAATGTATCGACCTCTCTAATCTTAGCTTTCAACACTTCGGCTAGCTCGTTTTCGTTCTTATCTTTGCTCGTATTTCTATTCCTAGCCGGCGCTTTGCGGGAAGACTGGTTGGTTTCTTGATGACTTCTGCGAGACTGAGCTTGTTCGATCTTTCTGTACTTATTCTTAAGTCTATCTACGCGCCTGTAGTGAGATTTCACGAGGGCTCCTACAAGGGCCTGTTCGGCTTTCTTTCTTATGGAGTTTATGTCTTTCTTAAAGTCCTCGTCTAGCGTGATATTCGCCCTCGCATTGTACCTTAAAGTCTTAGGGCATGAGCCCTTCTCTAGGTGATTGTTCAGCAGACTGATAGAGTTTGTGGAGCTTTCTATTTTCTCCTGGATGGAGTTTAGCTCTTCTTCATGCCGTGATTTCTTCCTATCGGAGCTGCCGTTAGTTTTGGCGGACTTTGGTGGTTCTTCTCTTCGGCGCTTCCTGCCTCCGTCGTTCCTCGTTTTCTCAGAGCCTGTAGGCTCTTTGGTTTTCTGCTCACTTGGCCTCTTCCTGCTCATTTGCTCGTTCGTTGTATCCCTCTTACGTTCCTGTCTTTGGGCGTTTGGGATACTGTCATCGCTAAAACCAACGTCTTCATCTCGATTTTCGGACAGGAGGGCGTCCTCTTCTTCGTAAGTTATATCGGTGTCCATTCTAGTGTCCTCATTAACAGGATCTGACTCTTCGGTCGATAGAAGACCGTCAGCAGTAAGTTTGGTTGCTGCCATTTCACAAGAGTATTGCTGAGGCAAGACTGCAGTTTCGATTCTAAAAGGAATCTCGTCAGTTGCCACTGATAGTTCTGTTAGCAGTCAGTGAAGATTATGCTGTTTTGAGTTTATATATCCCCTTTGACCGGTATTTGGATCGAAAAATCCCGCCAGTTTTTCTATTGGTTCCTGGATTGAACCAATGGGGTCTCTAGAAGCTCAGCCAATGGCGTAGAGAGGATTTCGATCCGTTTGTCAGCTAAAGTCTGTGTGTTTCGGTTCTTGAAGAAGGCTAACGTGTGGCTTCCCAGATATGAATGTTAATTTTCAGGCAAGAGTATCTTCTTGTAGAGCCATATATGTTGTTCTGCAATGTAGGTCTTTTGCTCTAGAAAGATGTTAGAACTTGCCGTCAGCGTGGAAAGCGTGGTTTTCTGATGCGAAGCAGAACGGGGCAAGTCCATTAATAGTCAAACACTGATAAAAGTGTTGACAAGCCTACACGACTCCTGCAGTTCGCGGATGACAGTATCCCAAACGCCCAAAGACAGGAACGTAAGAGGGATACAACGAACGAGCAAATGAGCAGGAAGAGGCCAAGTGAGCAGAAAACCAAAGAGCCTACAGGCTCTGAGAAAACGAGGAACGACGGAGGCAGGAAGCGCCGAAGAGAAGAACCACCAAAGTCCGCCAAAACTAACGGCAGCTCCGATAGGAAGAAATCACGGCATGAAGAAGAGCTAAACTCCATCCAGGAGAAAATAGAAAGCTCCACAAACTCTATCAGTCTGCTGAACAATCACCTAGAGAAGGGCTCATGCCCTAAGACTTTAAGGTACAATGCGAGGGCGAATATCACGCTAGACGAGGACTTTAAGAAAGACATAAACTCCATAAGAAAGAAAGCCGAACAGGCCCTTGTAGGAGCCCTCGTGAAATCTCACTACAGGCGCGTAGATAGACTTAAGAATAAGTACAGAAAGATCGAACAAGCTCAGTCTCGCAGAAGTCATCAAGAAACCAACCAGTCTTCCCGCAAAGCGCCGGCTAGGAATAGAAATACGAGCAAAGATAAGAACGAAAACGAGCTAGCCGAAGTGTTGAAAGCTAAGATTAGAGAGGTCGATACATTGCTGGAACAAATGAGAGCACAGGCAAACAATAAAAAAAGTGAATCTTATCCTGTTGTCTTATCTTACCCTTTAGAAATAAGGGAAGAAGGGAAAAGAAACAGAACTGACAACAAAGCGGTTAAAAGCCGCAAAAGAACCGAGAGGAGGAAAATCAAAGAGAAAAAGCGCTTTCTAAACAACATTAAGTCACGCAACCAGCATATCAAAAACCTGTCAAATTCACAGTTGACAGACGAGCAAATTACCTTGCTATCCCGTGGTTTAAAATTCATTCCCACTCCCGGGACAAGAGAAAACATTATCAGGCGCCAGCTACTTAATGACTTCAGTCAATTTGCCAGAAGAATGCGCCTTAAATACATATTTCACGGTACAGATAAAGAACCTCATCCTTTCCACGTCAAGTCAGACTGGGACCCACCAGTCCAGCCCTCAGTTGCTCTTGAGACCTTCCTAGAAGAAGTCAAATTTGAGCTTGCTAATATCAAATTGAACAAGCCGAAAGACAACCTGTCACAGGGGGAGCGAAAAGCTCTAAAAGAACTATCGCATGACTAAAACATTGTGATAAAAAAGCCGATAAGGGAACCACAACCGTCATAATGAACAGAACAGATAAACTTAACGAGGGTCAAGTCCAAATTGATGATATACATAACTACCGACCCTTACACAACCCTATGGTTGGCACCACAGCCATAAAGGTTCACCGATTGATTCAATCACTACTTCAAGAAGGCCACATAGACGACATGACGGCTAAATGGCTTTCCTTTACACCCGATCCTCCACGAATACCAGTACTTTACACACTCACAAAGATTCACAAACCGACACCTGTCGGTAGACCTATCATATCAGGGTGTGACGGCCCTACAGAAAGAATCTCAGCTTTTGTTGACCACCTCATTCAGCCAATAGCACAAAAACAAGCCTCGTATCTCAAAGATACAACAGACTTTCTTAATTTCATCGAGAAGACTAAACTGCCTAAAAGTACAATTCTTGTCTCAATGGACGTCACCAGCCTCTACACGAACATACCCCAGGAGGAGGGTATTACCACTGTATGCGGAGCATACGAAGAATTCTATGCGGAAAACCCTCCCATTCCTACCAGGTAATTAAGAGAAATGCTAAGTCTGATTCTACAAGAAAACTCGTTCCAATTCAATGGAAAAGATTGCCTTCAAACTCATGGAACAGCCATGGGAACGAAAATGGCCGTAGCTTTTGCTAACATATTTATGGCCAAAATAGAAAAAGAAATACTCAGACAAAGCACCACAAAACCAATTTTTTGGAAAAGATTCATAGATGACGTCATATCTATGTGGAACACAAGCAGAGACAAAATAGAGGATTTCCTTGTAAAGGCAAACAGTTTTCACCCAACGATCAAATTCACGGCTGAAATCTCAGAAACAGAAACCACATTCTTAGACACGAAAGTGTACAAAGGTGACAGATTCCAAAAGGAATCTATATTCTTGACGTGCGAACGCATTTCAAAGCTAGAGAAACCTTTCAATTGATGGTTTTCACGGTGACGTCATCAGATTGCAAAGTCAAAAAAGCGAGGTTTTACGAATTCTTTTTTACACTAGGTTGAAGATTAATAGGAAATAAATCTTTGTACAAGTTTCCAGCCCCGAAGCATGTTTCATTTCGAAAATACAGCAGTTTGAACTTCCGAGTTTTCACGGTGCGTGACACCAAAATAGGAATGCTATCTCCTTGAAAAAAGTCTCTCCGCTTGATTTTCAGCAGTTTAACCATTTCAAGTATTAGAAGATATGTTTATGCGCAAGTATGCTAGTTCTCAAGTGAAAAGGAGGAGCTTTTATAGAAAAAGTGAACTCCAGATGTTTTTGTTGATTTCCGGCGGCCATATTGGTGGACAGTTTCTGTCCACCAATATGGCGTCTCCATACAAAGCTCTACAAAGGTGCGTGAAATGTTTCGGCAACTAACTCAGAAACTGTGGGCCACAAAGACCTGAGATTTGGACAAATTGTTTATATATTAGTCTTTTATAACATTTCATTTTCTTGGCTTCTTCCACTTGACGGTTTCAAATGTATTTTTTTGTGCCGTGTTTATTGCGTGACAGTGAAAACGAAGAATACACGAATTTCTATTCGTGTCACCCACCAGGCGTCACGAAAGGCTTTATAAAAGGAAAAGCGTTAAGGCTTCTGAGAACAAATTCCTCTCAATTTACTTTTGAGGAAAACATGAGTAATTTCAAAACACGCCTGCAGAATAGAGATTACCCAGCTAGAATTGTAGAAAAACACCTTTCAGAGATTAAATTCTCTGATAGAGAAATGTCGCTAGCGCAGAAAAACAAAACCGCACCTAAGAAAATATTGCCCTTTGTAACACAATACCATCCGGCTTTGCCTAACCTAAAGGACACACTTATGGGGAAATGGCACCTTATAGAAAACCAATCGCAACTGAGAGAAATCTTTAAGGAGCCCCCCATCACCTCATACCGTAAGGGAAAATCCCTAAAGGACATCCTAGTTAAAGCTAAGCTATGAAGGCTTTATTAGAATTTATTCATCCGCTAACTGCAGGAGTCGTGTAGGCTTGTCAACACTTTCATCACATTTATTTGGACCAACTCAATTTTTCTCTATATTACAGGAAGATTTTCTCCGTCACCTAAAACTGGCCCGTTTGCCGTTAGAAGTGGTGAGATTTTGCTGAAACTTTAGGGCTCTGTCAAACCTAGCTTACATAGCCGAATAAGCTGATTATTTTACACACAAAAGTGTTAACTCTGGTTAACAGTGTCAACGTTCAATGGTTGCATTCTGTAGAAAGTTGGCTGAGATATGATTTTTTTTTTAAATGACCTTTAATTTGCTCAGCAAGAAAAGTAATTTGCATAACTAGAGCTGAACGGTAATTTCGCAAAAGTGGCACCTGACCCAGACTAAAATCTATGATAAATCAGAAGTACTAAGACCAGTCTACTTCTTAATACAATAACATTTGTAGGCACTCTTCTCTGCGCGCTGTACAAAGTTCCGTTAATGTTACAAAATGCGCCATTTTGACAGCAAAGCTAGAATTGTAACGGTCCGCATTTGATCGACTAATTTCCACGGTTTTAACGTTTCTACTTATCACTAAATGTCATTAGACCCTTTAAATGTTGGACGTTTGAAAACATGTGGAGAAAACTTAGTAATCGCTTTTCCTTGGGTCTTTTTCTTGGAGAGGATGAACGTGACTTCATTCTCCGTATGCAAATTAGCCTCAGATGCGTTGTTTCAACAAATTGACAGGAAATATAATCCTTACATTTCACATTTCTAAGGGGAAAAATAACTCTCCTTTCCACAGAAAAACACAAAGCATGACTGAGAATCTCTTTAAGGTCTTTTTTTTTAACGAGGAAGAAGCAGCTGAATAATATATCATGATATGTGTTTGCGTGACTTAAAATAATTCAATTACTGTGGCCTGTCATGCATTCCAAAAGAGGGATGGTCGATTAGAAAACAATAGCGTCGTGTCGATCAATTCTATAATATTATCATCTTTTTTTAAATAATAGTCATTAATAATAATAACAAATAAGAGTTCACTTGCAAGGTAAGTCCTCTTGTCAACACACGAAAATTTTTGGGCACTCTTTTTCGCGTGCCTTAAAAAATAGCGTTAACGTCGAAAGCTTTATTATGATACTTGCTTATCAGGAGAAGGCAGATCTTTGTACATGGCACTATGTTAAAAAAAATGCCCCCTCCCCTTTTTCTATCTTAAATTAGCAGTAAATTTCACTTTCATTCAAAGATCTTTAAAGCGTTTATCGGTAGCAGAATGAAACGGGAAAAATGGTTCCTTTTTTCAGTGAATAAACCCAAAAGGGAGTACCTTATTAGTTTTTGTTAGGGTATAGCATCCGAATTCCAACGATGATCTTGTTGTGGTTTCAATCTGATTGAATTATAATGGAACAGGTGCCAGTTTCAAATATAATTATGTCAAGGAAATGGCCGAAGAGATCAATTGTGAAAAATGGCTTTTTTGCCTATTTCCATGTCAAGCAGTTCTTCCGCGAGATCGTAGACAGAGTGAGGTCCCAGTAGGGGTGTGGAGGAAAATGTCTTGGTCACAGAGTGCATGGATGATATCAAGGCACAGACACTAAATAGCCTGTGTACAGACCCACCTCCCCTCAGGAAAAATCGAGAAGGGGCCCCTTCTCCGAGGGCGCGGGGGGATGTAGTGTGTACACAGGCTAACACTAAAATGACAATCTGCCCAAGGCATAGACACATACTTGGCAGGTTTTTGCGAGCGCCAAGGTCTTGTTAGGTTCGATTGTAAGCCGCTGTTCTGGAAAACTAGCCCCCAACGGACGGGGAGAAGGCGGAAATCGAGCCTAAGGTCTTGTCAATACCCCGGTCACACTCTGGATCATACTAGCAAAATAACTTCTGTCGCAGGAAGGCATGTCGTAAATTTCCAGATAGCCAGCGAAATAAGTCAAAGCTTTGGTCCATCACAAGTCAAGTCAAGTCAAGTCAATCTTTATTTAAACACGGTAAAATCCATCAGGATTTTACCGTGTTTAAATAAAGATTGACACGTAAGTATCATTCTTTTTTCTTCTTCATGCAAAAAATTTTCTTAATGTACAGAGATATTCTAATTTCTGTATTTAACATTTTATCTTGCGATGTTTTCTGAAGTTCGTTTCCAGTTTATTTGAGCTTGCAAAGATAGTTTTTGTTATTTCTATTTTTTTGACAACCGTGTAGCTTGCCCTAATCAATTCAGTACCTTTAAAATAATATACATGCCGGTTAATCCGAGTGTTGTAAAAGATAGTTTTCTGATGATTGTTTGAAGAGCATTATCAATGGGAAAAAAGGACTTTCTACACGGAGTCAGGATTCAACCTCGTCCCCAGGGCTTTCCCGCCCCTGGCATTTTCTAAGAAGAATGTCCTGGGGACGAGGCTAGGAGTGATTGTGGTGGAGGTGTCGTTCACGTGTATAAAAAGTATTTCATTCTTGCAATAAAAATAATTTTTTTGACCTTAAACAGTGTTTAAAACATGTCTCTGGTTTTGTAAAAATTAGTGAGACTTAAAAGTACCTTAGTGTTCAATTCAACTTTATATTTCTTGTTTTGATAACGTTTTCATGAAGTCTTCAAAAATGCCTCCCGATTGCTGTTTTTTTTATTTATACCCTCTTGAACAATGTGCTCCATCTCATCTCTCCGTATTTAACCTACTTTACCATCCACCCTCTCTCCCCACTGTTCCACCTCTACTTTTACAAGCATTTCATTGTACTTAAGAGGGTGAAATTTCTCCCGTTTATATTAATTTCTGAAAAATTAAGTCCTTCTACTTTTTCCTTAAGTTCTTAAACTTAGTTCTTTTTTCTTTAAGAACCGCCAAAGATGCTGCTAAGGCTGCAATAAGCGCACTCACCCTTTTATGTACTTCATCTAGTGAAATGCCCATCCTTTCATATACCTGAAGCCTGAAAAAGATACTCCTTTCGGGCGGAACCTCCCCGTAT